TTTAATAAAATGCATTCTAGGTCAGGTGTGGGCAACCTGTTGCTCTTTTTGCTGAGTTTCATCTCCCTGCAGTCATGATTAGCAAGTGGTATTGGGAGCCTATAGCTCATTGACATTTAAAGGCCAAAAGTAGACACCCTTGTTCTAGGATAACTGATAAGTAAAAACTCATTCATTCCCCCAGCTATAACTAATTGGTTACTAAAATTACTAAAGGAATGTACTCCTTTGGAATGTATGGTTTGGGGCAATCAATGTAATTATGGGGAAAGGAAAACTATATACGTGCGCCTTCTAGTCAGTGTTGACTCCTGGAAACGACCTGAACACTCCCTGCAGTTTTTATAGAGTCAATTTAATGTTATGGTTAAAATACCAAATTAGAATTCGGGAAACTGTGAGTTCTAGTCCAGCATTAGGCCCAAAGTCAGCTGGGTGATCTTGAGCCAACCACTCACTCAGTCCTAGAAGAAGACAATAGCAAATAACTTCTGGAAAATGTTGACATTTAAAGGCCACCAGTAGACCACCCTTGATCTAGGTAAACTGCCCAAATAAATATACATACAGATATTATTAACAGAATTAGTTAATTCTCTAGAATTCAGAATGCACCCATCTCTTCTTTTCAACACTGTTGCAACTGTTCATTTGTTTGTACCTTCTTCTGGATTAACCTAAACCAAATCATGATTTCTTTTGCAACTCTAAAAGGAAATAGTACTTTAAAAGGCATATAAATAAGTACTAATAGCAAAGAGGAGAAGTAACAGGTCCAGGAATCCCTCAAATTGACAGAGGAAGTACCCTTCCTCTGGGAATATGGGTTTCAAAAGATAACACGAATCTGATTTCCAAAGAATTCTATTATGTCAAAATTCAAATACTGCACAAAATTCAAATGACATATTATAAATAATATCACATGTTTTGTCAAGTTGTATTCTCTATAAATGCTTTATTGGTAAAACAGCGCCTCATTATATAGAGAAGCTATAGTGCCTCGGCAAATTTCACATTAAAGAAAAACAGTACAGTTGACTTAAACACTACTGAAGAAACTTAAACCAGAAACATACTATAGAGAATTTAATAAAACCAATATTTTTACAGCAGTATTTGTCACACTTTGTTTCCTAGGAGTGAAATCTTAAAAGGAGGGGATTTTTAACTCCAAAAATAAATGTCACTTTCACGAATTGAATAGGCAATGAGTATGCCAAGTGTGACAGCTGTTAAAACAATAGAGGATAAATACATGAAGCATGCTTCAAACAAGCTTAAAGCTTTTATTACCATCTGCAAAGTGGGATTGTGAGGGAACCATTTATTGTCCAATGCATTTTGATTAAGAGGCAAGCAATGCTGATTTTGCAACAGTTCCTATTAGAGTCTTTAATTAATTAAAAATGATTCCAGTTTCAGCTTATATGTTTATTCAAAATGCTTGGAAAACCTTATACTATTTATACAAAAATGTTCAATTATCGTAAAATAGGAACATACAACTTCACAAATACAAAACTGTTTATGAAGAATGAAACTCTTTGACATTAAATGAAATAACTCTGTGCATGAAATAGTGCCTGAAAGAAGAATGGAATGTGTTTATATATACAGTGGAATCACGGGTCACGAACGCTTCTGTTTGCAACCAAATCGGGTGTGAACAAAAAATCCATTTGATTTTTGAATCGGGTCACGATTCAAAAATTGGGTGGCGAACAAAATCGGTGTGGAAAGGTTCCCTTTCCATGCCAATTTCCCCTTCAGTACCACTTTTTTTTTACTGCGTGCCTGTGCAGTTGGTCTTGTTTCTGGACACGACCAAACCGGGTCACAACTGAAGTCTGGAAACAGATTACGATCGCAACCCGTGGCTCCCACTGTATTTATATTTAGAACATATAGGTTTCAAAGAAAAAAAGAACTCGAGTTTCCTTTTGAAAAAGCACTTTTGGAACAACCATGACCTGGATGACCGAGAATCTCCAAAGACATATATGTTTTAATTTGTATTAGCCACTGACGTAGTTCAAAGTATGTAATATTTAAAACATGAAATGACAGCACTTTTCACTAATAACTAAAATTATAATTCAATGAAATATTATTAAAATCAAAAGCAGGAAATGGAACAAATGCACTAAAGCTTTAATTGACTTGTATATATAAAAGGAAAGTCCTTGGGTGGTTTGTTGCTAAGTGCAATGATCGAACCAGGGGTGGGATTCTACCAGTTCTACGCACCTATTCGCTAGAACCGGTTGTTAACATTCTAAGCAGTTCGGAGAACCGGTTGTTAGAAGAAATTACTGGCCTAATCCTGTAAGGAAGGCAGGAAGGAAACATTCTGGTGTTGCTTACAGAAACTGCCTCTCCGTTAACCCTTATTACATTCTTGGCAGGACTAGACTTCCTGTCTCAGGAACTTCTCTGGAGTTTTTTTCCTCCTCCTTTGCTGGTACTTTGCTTGTGTGGAGTGACCATTCAAAGTTACAGTGGCACTGAAAAAAGTCACTTATGACCATTTTTCACACTTACGACTGTTGCAGCATCCCCACAGTCACGAGAGGCCAGGAGAGGAGATGCATGCCTCGATGTGAGTGATGTTGAGTTGGCCACGCCCAGCCAGTAACATGACCACCAAGCCATGTCCCCCCAGTCACATGACCACCAAGCCACGCCCACCAACTAAGCCATGCCCACAGAACCAGTTATTACAAAATTTGAATTCCACCCCTGGATTGAACCAAGTAAGAGATAGAAAGTATACAGTGAGTGTTTTAAAAGATACGTCAGGTGTTTGCCAGCTGCCTAATCTGAAAGAGATTGTTCCAAACAAATCTCCCTCTCTTTAGCTAGCTTTATTAGGATGAAAGGAGTGCTGTAGTGATACAAAAATTCCAGCAACTGATTTTTTTCTTAATTTACCATTTTATATTCATGTACAATATCCACTGGGGGCACAGACTTTCTCAATCTTTTCCTTACAGCCTTCCTCCTTTTCCTTACAGTCTGTTCCTTTCACTTAAACATATAAGATAAACCTTCAACTGTTAATTATTTATGCAACTGCTCTTTAAATCTCTCACAGTCTGAGAACCATCTACAGGTATTCAGAATAATACTTTAGTTCATATTTTAGGGCATGTATTCTTTTATGCAAACAATGATGAAATCATAACGTGAATGTTACAAGAAATATTAAATATAAATTCAGCATTAGTTCATTAATAATTATTTGTTAAATTTATTTTAATATTTATAATAGTGGTAGACTATATAACTGACACTGATAAAACTAGCAGGAATAGTCATTATAGAGATACAATGTCTCATCTTGTTGAAATGGTATCCGGACTTTTATAAAAGAAAATAAGAAGGAAAATATAGATCTTAACAAATCTGAGCGAATGAACATATATTTTTCATCAAGAAGTAGCTTTGGTGAACATTCTGAATGATTGTTTATTGTATAACTAATTATTATGGTTGACCACAAAATCAGCCAGGTGTTTAGACTGGAATTGGCATATTTATTCAACTGTTGAGTTCTTCCCAAGAATCTAGGTTAGGCAGAAGTTGTTGTTTGATGGTGTTAAAGATATAAATTTATCCTGCCTCTCTAGATATACAAGTAGGTATGGATTTACATTTGGTCATTTAAAAACCACTCAAAGTTACAACAACCTCAATAAGAGAACTAAACAGCCCTTAAAGCACTTCCAGCCATCGTAAAACATCATGCCACTCCGGGTTCCCCCCACCCCCGGCAATCACATGGTTGCAATCCAGTGGTGGGATTCAAATATTTTTACCACTGGTTCGGTGGGCGTGGCTTGGTGGGCGTGCTTTGCGCGTATGCACACCAATTGCATGCGCGTGCGCACCAAATGCATACTTTGCGCAGGCACAGAGGCATTTGTGCAGGTGCAGAGGCGTTCTAACTCACCTCCTGCAAGCCTGCACTCTCCCGGTCGCCACTCTGCTGTGCTGCACAGAGAAGCTGTGCTACAAATTCAGAGGATAAAGGTGAGTATGGAGCCCGGGCAGTGGGGTGAGCTGGCCCAACAGCAGAGCGGCAGAGAGAACTAGTTCAGTCTCCGCTACTCATCGCTGCTACCGGCTCGGCAGAACCGGGCCGAACCAGTAGAATACCACCACTGTTGCAATCTGAATGCTTGGCAACCTGTTTGCACATAGACCTGTGGCCAAGTGCCCCACAATCATGTGGTCGCTATTTGTAAACTTCTCTGCCAGCTTTCCCAGAAAGTCAATGGGGAAGCCAGAAGGTTGCAAACTGCTGCTACTTGTTGAGATGACTCCATCTCATCTCTGGGGGCTGGCTGAAAGAGCTGTCTACTGAGCAGAGCTGAACGCTGGCAGGGTGGAGAAATGGAGCTCTATTCCTGAGACTACTGGAGCAGTTCGCACATGGAGAGGAATAAAAATCCTCCTTCTCCTCTTGGGAAACAGAGCTCAGGCATAGGAACACTATTAGAGGCGTGAATTAAGACTGATGAGCAATATTAAATAATTCCATATCATTTCTCAATCTGAGTTAACGTTTTGTGCTTACCATTTTTTATTAGTTTAACTACCCTGAACATGCAGCCTCCCCTAGTATAGGGGGCCAATAAAACACATTTCTAACTGTAATTAGAATATGTAGGCCCCTTTGCTTATGCATGGGAGGGGGATTTGGGGAACCCCCCCAATGAAAAAAATACAATCAACCATGAATGCGTCTGGTCAATTTGTTGCAAAATTAAGTCAACAATATACATATGAATAAAAACAGATTTGTAAAAGTTTCTTAGAGAATTAAAGGAATCTTATATAATTCTTAAAAATCTTGATCTCCCTTTGGGATTATAAATACAGCCATGCACAGAATCATTGTGTCATGTCAGCCATAAACAAGACTCTCATACTGTACTGCAGCTCCAAAACAGCTTTAACTGAGCACAGCTGTTCTTACATCAGCTACGCCATTCTTCCCTGATGTATCAGCTACCATATCACGTCTGTCTCAGTTACTTCTAAAACAAAAGAGCTCATTGGTGTTCAGAACATGGTATACAACACAATGCTCTTCATGGAGAGAGAGAGAAAATAAATTATCTACAACAAATGCATTTTTAAATGTCATTACGATTCTAATCTCATTTTCTTGCAATGCTACCAAAATAAAAGGCACTTTATTATAAAAAAAACTACCCCGTAATCTTTAGTGTTACAGAAACAAATTTTAACACTTACACAAAACACTCCTAACAGTAATGTACCCTTAAAAACAGTGGAAAAACTGACTTGGTAGAGAATGTAGTATATGTGAACTTTTATTAAGTTCTGGTAAGATACTTAACAGAATTTTATCATGAGTTGAGCTGAGTTATTAGCTAAATTAAATTGCTCATGGAAATATCTTCCATTACTGATTTTGGGAGGAATGAGCTCATAACTTGTTACAGGAAAATACTGTCTCTTCTACCAAAGGCTAACTACAACTAAAGAAGTTTGTCATGTGAGAAATGCTTGTTCAAATGTTTATGCTTAGATATACTTCTAAACTTCATGCTTTATAGTTCTTTTAAAATTTAGAAAATCCATTTTTACTGGAAGCAATCTGTGCTATTATCTTCAAATGAGAATATCTTTAAATTGATAAACTGTACATTATGAATAGAAGTTTCTGATCCTGATTTAGTTTTTCACTAAAAAATGAAATGTAGCTTTCAGCATGTAGCATCAAGAACAAATAAAGTAGAAAAAGAAAAGCAATAAATACAGAGACACATAAAAAAGAAAAAGGGAAAATAAAGTGATTTATTCAACAAAAATAAAGCTTTTTTATAGTGATAAAAACAAATCAAAGGGAAGAAGGCAGCTGGTATGGTAGCACCAGTACTTCTGTGCAGCTACAAACTGTTGCCAAAATCACAGCCCAGAGGTTTGGAACTTCCAGAGGTGAGTCTCCATCAGATATAGTAAATGAGAGAGAACAGATGAGAAGCTGTAAAACTTGGTCACTTCATTAAATTGAAATAAAAAGAAGGGGAATGAAGAAAACTGCTGTAACAAGGGAATGTCATCTTCCTAATAAAAGGTTTTCAAAAACTAGCAACAGCATTCTGATTCAGATGAAGCTTCTAGAGCAAAATGTCTTCATTCTTATCTATATAGAGGCTAATTATTTCCTAGTATATAATTCTTGATACTGTATATACAGGTAGTCCTCAACCTATGGCCACAATTGAGCTCAAAATTTATGTTGCTAAGTGAGACATTTGTTAAGTGAGTTTTGCCCCATTTTATGACTTCTCTTACCACAGTTAAGTGAATCAATGAAATTGTTAAATTAGTAACCCGGTTGCTAAGTGAATCTGGTTTCCCCATTGACTTTGCCTGTCAGAAAGTTGCAAAAGGTGATCACATGACCCAGGACACAGCAACGGTCATAAGTATGAACCAGTTGCCAAGCATTCCAATTTTGATCAGGTGACCATGGGGATGCTGCAATGGTCATAAGTGTGAAAAAGTGTATTGTAAGTAAGTTAAGAATTTTAGGTGTCCAAAAAATACATCCAAAAAATCTGCAGGTGGGCTTACCCATTAGTATACTTTTTTAAAAACAATACAGATAATTCTTGACTTACATCATTTAGCATCCATTCAAGGTTACAAGGACACTGAAAAAAGTGACTAAGCCTGATCTTTGTACTTACAATCTTTGCAGCCTCCCTACGGGCTTGTGATCAAAATTTGGGTGCTTGGCAACCAGCATGTATTCAAGATAGTTGCAGCATCTCAGGTCATGTGATCGTCATTTGCACTCTTCTAGCCTGTTTTTCATAAACAAAGTCAATGGGAGAGCTGGATTTGCTTAATGATTGTGTGTTTCATATAACAACGGCAGTGATTCATTTAACAACTGTGGCAAAAAAGGGGTGTAAAATTGAGCATAACTCATTTAACCACCACCTTGCTTAGCAACACAAATTCTGGGTCTATAAATTGAGGACTATCTATATTCCAAAAGTATACCATCATACTTTTTTTAAAAATGCCATGAAAAATGGATTATCCATGAATTACTCACAAAGAAGTCAACTATGAAAATTTAAATTACAAAAGTTTCAAGGGTCAGCTTATTTGTGGGTGGTACATTTTATAGAGTACTTTGGTTAAAAATTTAAGGATCAGCTTATGTACAGATGGGCTTGTATATGAGTATATATAGTATGTGAAATTAAAGTATGTGACCCAGATACTCAATTTTAAAGTAATATTCTTGTGATGTTAATAGCTTTACCTATGAAAAAATTAATTGTTTGCATGTGGTTTATGAATTATTAAGATTATATTAAATAGTGGTATAGCTGGTAGAGCTGCTGATGGATTTACACCATTATTTTGTTATGGATTACTGAAAAACACTTGTATCTTATTACTAAATATCTAAAAAACAAACAATTAAAATTAAATTTTAATAAAATAAAAATAACATTTTATTAACATGTATACCTCATGATTTGTTACATTGGAACCAACTAGCCACACAAGTTGGAATTAAATTCTTTTTAAATTATTGATTGATTGATCTGCAACCACAATCTGTATTTTCCACATGAAAATAATAATATTAATAGTCAACATGGGTACCACCTGACTTGAAAAAAACACTGGACAAAGAGAAGGTACAATGTTATTATTCTATTTTGGAAACATAAAAATTGTTATATTCATATTTAGAATTATAATCCTTACCTCTTTGATTAATGTAGATCCAATATGTTAGTAGCTACTCTGACTACAATCTATAGATTGTTCTTCTGCTTATTGTGCATTCAGCTCAGGATTCAACAAGCTTCTAATAATATCAGATGTTTACATGACATCACTGATGAATTCAAATTAGGTAGCATCCAGTAATGACTTGTCTTTAGTTTGCAACAAAATGTGAACATTTCTTAAGAGTTTTCTGAAGCATCTCTCAATCTATTTCAAACTTCTCCAACCTTTTT